TGTACCAGTTTTCTAATCCATTCATCTGCTGATGGGCACTTAGGCTGTTTCCAAATCTTGGCTATTGTAAATTGTGCTGCTATGAACATAGGGGTGCATATATCCTTTCTGATTGGTTTTTCTGTTTTCTTGGGATATATTCCTAGAAGAGGGATTACTGGGTCAAATGGCAGTTCCATTTTTAAATTTTTGAGGAAACGCCATACTGTTTTCTACAATGGCTGCACCAGTCTGTATTCCCACCAGCAGTGAAGAAGGGTTCCTTTTTCTCCACATCCTCTCCAGCACTTGTCGTTTGTTGATTTGTTGATGATAGCCATTCTGACAGGTGTGAGATGGTACCTCATTGTTGTTTTGATTTGCATCTCTCAGATGATTAGTGACTTTGAGCAGGTTTTCATGTGTCTCTTGGTTTTCTGAGTGTCCTCTTTCGAAAAGATTCTATTTAGGTCCTTTGCCCAGTTTTTTTTATTGGATTGTTTATTTTCCTTTTGTTGAGTTGTATGAGTTCCCTGTAAATGTTGGAGATTAGGCCCTTATCAGAGATAACATTGGCAAATATGTTCTCCCATGCAGTGGGCTTTCTTGTTGTTTTGTTGATGGTTTCTTTTGCTGTTCAGAAGCTTTTTATTTTGATGTAGTCCCATTTGTTTATTTTCTTTTTAGTTTCCATCTCTTTTTTCAGCATCCTGTAATTTTCTGAGTACAGGTCCTTTACTTCCTTGGTTAAATTTATTCATAGGAATCTTATTTATTTATTTATTTTTTGTTGCAATGGTAAATGGGATTTTTTTTTAGTTTCTTTGTCTGTGAGTTCATTATTGGTGTATAAAAAGGCCATAGATTTCTGTGTGTTAATTCTGTATCCTCCTACATTGCCAAATTCATTTATTAGGTCTAGTAGTTTTTTGATGGAGTCTTTGGAGTTTTCTATGTATAGTATCATGTTGTCTGCAAATAAGGACAGTTTTACTTCTTTTTCAATTTGGATACTTTTATTTTTTCTTCTTGTCTGATCGCTATGGCTAGTACTTCTAGTACTATGTTGAACAGGAGTGGTGAAAGTGGGCATCCTTGTCTTGTTCCTGTTCTTAGGGGAAATGGATTTAGTTTTTGCCCATTGATTATGATGTTGGCTGTAGGTTTGTCATATATGGCTTTTATTATGTTGAGGTATGTTTTCTCTATTCCCACTTTGCTGAGAGTTTTTATCAAGAAAGGGTGTTGGTTTTGTCAAATGGTTTTTCTGCATCGATTGATATGATTATGTGATTTTTTTTCTCTCAATTAGTTTATGTGATGTATCACATTTATCGATTTGTGGATATTGAACCATCCTTGCATCCCTGGAATAAATCCCACTTGGTCATGGTGTATGATCTTTCTAATGTAATGCTGGATCTGATTTGCTAAGATTTTGTTGAGGATTTTAGCATCTATGTTCATCAAGGATATTGGCCTGTAGTTCTCTTTTTTTGTGGTGTCTTTATCTTGTTTGGGGATTAGGGTAATGCTGGCTTCATAGAAAGAGCTTGAAAGTGTGCCTTCCTCTTGAATTTTTTGAAATAGTCTTAGGAGTAAATGTTTTAGTTCTTCTTTGAATGCTTGGTAGACCTCCCCTGTAAATCTGTCTGGACCAGGGCTTTTGTTTGCTGGAAGATTTTTTATCACTGTTTCAATTTCTTCGGTAGTTATTGACCTATTCAGATTTTTTGACTTTTCTTGGTTGAGCTTTGGGAGCTTGTATTTTTCTAAGAATATGTCCATTTCATCTAGGTTGTTCATTTTGTTGGAATAGAGTTATTCATAGTATTTTTTCAGAATTGTTTGTATTTCTGTGGGATCGGTTGTTGTTTCACCTCTTTCATTTCTGATTTTGTTTATTTGGGTCCTCTCTCTTTGCTTCTTGGTGAGCCTGGCTAGAGGTTCATAAGTCTTGTTTATTCTTTTAAAGAACCAGCTCTTGTTTTTGTTGATCTTTTGTATTGCTTTTATTTTGGTCTCTATATTGTTTATCTCCACTCTGGTCTTTATTATTTCCTTTCTTCTGCTTACACTCAGCTTTTCTTGTTGCTCTCTTTCTAACTCTTTGAGTTGTAGGGTTAGATAATTTATTACCATTGTTTCTTATTTTTTGAGGCAGGCCTGTAGAGCTATGAACTTCCCTCTTGAGACTGCTTTCACTGTGTCCCATAGATTTTGGATTGTTGTGTTTGCATTGTTGTTTGTTGCCATGATGCTTTTTATTTCTTCTTTGATCTCTCTGGTAACCCAGTCATTGTTTAATAGCATGCTATTTAGCCTCCAGGTGTTTGATTTTTTTATTGTAGTTGATTTCTAGTTTTATGCCATTGTGGTCTGAGACGGTGCTTGATATGATTTCTATCTTCTTGAATTTGAAGAGACATTGCCTGTGACCCAGTATATGGTCTATCTTTGAAAATGACCCATGTGCCCTTGAGAAGCATGTATATTCTGTGGCTTTGGGGTGAATATTCTGAAGATGTCAATTAATTCCATCTGACCTAGTGCATCATTTAGGATTGCTGTTTCTTTGCTGATTTTTTTGTTTAGAGGATTTGTCCAGTGGTGTTAGTGGGGTATTAAAGTCCCCTACTATGACTGTATTGCTATCAATCTCTCCATTGATATCCTCCAAAAGTTTTCTTTTTTATGTATTTGGGTGCTCCTGTATTGGGTGCATATTATGTTTACCAGAGTTATATTTTCTTGTTGGATTGCTCCCTTTAGTATTATGAAGTAGCCTTCCTTATCTCTTGTTATATCCTTCACTTTGAGATCTAATTTGTCTGATATAAGTATTGCTACCCCATGGTTTTTTTTTTCATTTCCATTCACCTGAAAAATATTTTCCCATCCCTTCACCGTCAGTCTTTGTGAGTCCTTTTTTCTGAGGTGTGTTTCCTGTAGACAAAAGATATATGGGTCATGTTTTCTTATCCACTCAGCTACCCTACGTATTTTGATTGGGGAATTTAATCCATTAACATTTAAAGTTACTATTGATAGGTACTTGTTTGTCACCATTTTTATTCTTTAAGCCTGTGTTCCTTCTTCGTTTCCTGTTTCTTCTTTTCACAGAAGACCCTATAGCATTTCTTGCATTGCTGGTTTGGTGGTAATAAACTCCCTTCGTCCTTTTTTGTCTGTGAAGCTCCTGATTTCACCCTCAATTTTGATTGATAGCCTTGCTGGGTATAGTATTCTTGGATTCAGACCCTTCCTTTGCATGACTTTGTATATTTAATTCCATTCCCTTCTTGCCTGATGTGTTTCTGTTGAGAATTCAGTCACTAGCTTGATGGGGGATCCTTTGTAGGTAACTTTCTGTCTCTCTCTGGCCGCTTTTAAGATTTTTACTTTGTTGTTGATGTTTGCCAGTTTAATTATAATGTGCCTTGGCATTGGTCTTTTGGGGTTCATTTTGTTTGGGACTCTATGAGCTTCTTGGATTTGTGTGAGTTTTTTCTTCCCTATATCAGGGAATTTTTCTGTCATTATTTCTTCAAACATGTTTTCTATTCCTTGCTCAATTTCCTCTCCTTCTGGTACCCCTATTATGCGGATGTTGTTTCGTTTCGTGTTGTCCCAAAGTTTCCTTAGGCTCTCCTGTTTTTTAAGTTTTATTTTTATTTTTTCCTAGATGCTGCTCTGCTTGGGTATTTTTTCCTACCTTGTCTTCTAGCTCACTGATGTGGTCCTCTGCTTTTTCTAGTCTACTGTTGATGCTTTCTATTAAGTTCTCTATAGCAGCGATGTCATTTTTCATTTCTTCTTGGTTCTTCTTCATTTCCTCTTGGTTCTTCTTCATTTCTTCTTGGTTCTTACACATATTGTTGAATTTGTCTTCCATTCTTTTCAGCCACCTTATGACCATTTGAATTCTTTCTCTGACATATTGCTTGCCTCCTTTTCATTTACTTCCTTTTCTGGTGATGCCTCCTTTTCTTTCATTTGCGGGCTGTTTCTCTGTCTCCCCATGATCTCTCTTCTCTGAGTGTCTGGTTATGTAGCTCTCTCTCTCCTTCCAGCACTGTTTGCAAATTGTCTCTTCCACATGTCCTTTTTCTCCTGGTACTAAACAGCTGGCACACTGGTAAAATCCAAGGCTGCCTTTTTGCGCCCAGTCTAGCTATTTGCTGATTTTTAGAGTTCCCTTCTGCCAGTAGCCCTGCGGATCCCCTTCCACACTCACGGATCATGCTGGCCCAAACGGCCGCAGACTTTGTGGGGTGCAGACTTCCCTCACGCGCATTCCTCTCTCCAACCTGGATCACAGACCTCACCTTTCCATAGGCAAAATCTGACCTTTCTGTGAGGAGGAGCAGGACTCATCCGAGTCCATGTATTTGTGCTGCTTGAGATCCAGTGTTCCTGGGTTCGTAGCTGGCCCCTGGGTGCCGTGGTTGCAGGGTCCCTGGATGTATATGCTTCTGATAATAGCCACTCTCCCCTTAAAGATGGCATGGTCTCCGTGGAAGAGCTGGCTGCTACAGGAGAGATTTCAGCAGCAGTGGAGGCTGCCCAGTTAGGGGAGCCTGATCCAGCAGTCTTCAACAGTCCCCTGGAGTATACCTATCGCTCACCCACAAATTTACACTCTCTGTACGTCCACACCCTCTCTTTCATTCTCTCACTCACACACTATCTTGCAGTCTGCTTTCCCGTTGGCAGCCATCTTTTCCTCTCTCTGAAGAGCCATGTTGCAGATGAGTTAGTTCTAGAAGGCAACACTACAGCAGAAATTACAAAGAGGTAATATGTAGCTGAAGATATTATGAAACTAAATCAGAAGCCAAATGCTTCCAAATAGTGTTGTTCTGCCAAATTTGAAATACATATTTGGACTCTTTAGGTTCACACATGCACTTACCTCAGGGAGACTAGATACATGTTTGGCATTCCCTGGGTGCCTGTTAGAAATATAGAATCTCAGGATCTTACCCAGACTTACTGAACCAGAATCTGCATTTAGAAGAGTCTCAGGTGGTTCACAGGTGTATTAGAATTTGAGAATCACTGCTCTACACTGGAGTTGACAAAATGTTTCTTTCTTGCTGTCTTCTGTTATCAATAGCCAGATATGGAAATCCAAATATAGAACACATGACCTGTAAAATATGAGCATATGTATAGAGACACTAGGACAGGACCATTGTCATTAAGACTGTCCCATCTGGAAAATTGGTTACTATGACTATGGAAAGAATACTACTTGCTACCCAAGTAATTCTATGCTAAAGTAGACAGCTGGGGTTAGCCTGAAGTAAAGAGAATTTGCACCTCAGTATTTGATAGTATCTGAGTGGACAAGGAAGCAAGTTTGATCCTTGGGCTCAACCATCACAGGAGTTAACCAATGCTGTGGAACCCACCAATCCAATGCTAGAGGAGGAGCAATGTGGGTGGTTAAGATTAGCACATAGACATTCCTAACTGTTAGGTGTCCCCTTGTTATTATTTTAAATACAAGAATATGCCCTGGTGGCACTTGATGCTATTTTAGAAGAGTGGGCATAAGAAGCCTATTCCAGGTGTTCTCTAAAGGGTACCTGCTTTGAAACCCTTTTTGTACTGCCCAAATGTTACATTGTTCTTTTTGCTGTGAGAAACAACCCAAGAACCCAAGATAAATGCAAAAATGTTAAGGCTTAAAATGAAGGATAGTCTGGCTATCAATGAATCAGAAAATCCATGATTTTAATTTACATTTAACTAGAAAAACCAATGAAATGACCTTTTAATTTGTTCCACTTTTAAGACCAAATCTAAACACATTACCTAATAAGGATGCTCATGACCATTACTCACTCGGTAATATTCTCCTCTGCAAATCCCAACATTTAAACTGAGTTCAGTCTCCCAACTCTCCATGGTTTAGCTCTGTCACCAGGTGAAACTGATCCAACAGGCAAAACCCAAACTCACGAAGTACAAATCTTGAAATCTCTCCAACAGAAACCAAGAAGGAATAGTAGTTATCTATGTAGTTCTTACTTAATGCTATCATTTTTTTCCTGCTCCATAAATTAGATGGAAAATCTTGTTTCATCTTTGAAACAGAACAATCACATGTGAGCAGATTGAGTCCTGGGTAGCTATGCTCTCTGTTTTTTTAGGGCCACTTGTGTAACAGGCAGGTGTACCTGCATGAATGAATGACTGGAAACAAGAGCAGGATGAGGGAGAAGGGGATGGCTGTGGGCTTGCAGGAGACATGGGAGCCACAGAGGGTGCAGACTTATATTCCACATTCTTCTTCTCCAAATGCCCTCCTATGCCATCATGTCCCAGACAATCAGGAAACACTACCAGGCAGCTGTTAATTACCATCCACACACTTTTCCATAAGAAAGTCATGTTTATTGGCAACTTTCTCTTGGCTCCTCCCAAAGAGGGGGGCTGCTTTCAAAATCCTAGTATTCCATGGGTCAGAAAAGAACCAGCCTGCCCTAAGGCAGAGCACACACATGCCTGCTTTATCCATCAGTTTAGCCAAATAAACTGGCAGTATTTATTTAGCAGCTACTGTAGAGTTGGTGCTGGGGAATGTCAAAACCAAATGTGTAAGATTCCATCCCTGCCCTTGAGAAGGTCACTGTTTTGTTTGGAGAAGCAGAGAAAGGATAAGATATACTAACTAGAAAAATTAGCAATAACAAAGCAGTAGATAATAAATGTCCAGAGAGTGGTATAAACAAAGAAGGTTATTGTAATTGCATTGATTTCAGGTGAAGTGAATTATAACAGCAATGTGGTTGTAGGACGGATGGTAGTCAAGCAATCTGTGAATGTGACATTATGGGGGATGTGGGATGCGAACTATGCATAGATAACTTCACACCATTCAGATGGAGTGTGGTTCAAGTGGGCTATAAAAGAGGGAGGGAGGGAGTGTGATTGAGTCATAGTGGGAGGCAGTGACTGAGCTGAAGGCCACTAATCTGTGAGAAATCTTGTCCTGGCTGTGGCATGGTTCAGAATAAACCCTTTTCAAGGAAGGGCAGAACCATTTGAGGGATGCTAGGAGAGATCAGGTGCCTAACCTTGATTGCAGGAATTCAGAATATTCCTCTAACTCCACCTTCTGCCTTACTCACCAGCCACCTTATTATTCCAAGTTCATAGGAGTGCTGTCCTTCCACAGGGAGACACAGGACCAATGACTGTGAGGTCAAATATATCACCAAATAATGCAGAGCTATTTGTCATAGGAAGGCCTTGATGGAGAGGGAAATACCAAGAAATGCTGCCTCCATACCACAGTGGTCGAAACCTTCATGTGTGAAACAAGTGTGACCTCCATGTAGTTCGCTTGTCCTTGCTCAGTACCTCATCCATTCCTCTCAGGGCCCCTTCAGGCCTTCTACCAAGCCTCCACAGACTGGGCACTCTGAAGATGCTGGTATTCCTACAAACTGAGAAAACAAGCCATCAAGGCTGCCCTCACTACCACCCTTCTCCACCTACTGACTTAACTCCATGGTTCCCACTGCTCCTAAGTCCCATGCTTAATCTCAGAGGATGGAGTCAGCCTTCTTGTATAAGACCAGCCTCTCCCTTACAGCTCCATAAGCCATCTCCCTTATTTTCTTCATCTGTCATTGTCTTTTCTATTCACTTTCTTTTTAGCCTATAGACATGATAAATATGCTGTCAATCAAAAATACACACACCCAAACTCAACAAAAACACAACCCATACACACACAAACATACACACACACCTTCCTTTAACCTCCTGCAACCACTGTTGCTCTCATTCCCTTATTAAGCAGGAAAGCCCCAGAGGGAATTGTCTGTGTTGATGTATCTTCATGTCCTCAGTACGAGTTACAGAGTATGGTGTCCACAGGTATGCAATAAAATTTGTTCAACTGGCTGCTAACAAATGCCAAAGACAGATTGGACTGAGTTTCAGCTTTATAGTTTATTCAGGATTACCTTTCTAAGCACACATATTGTTTCTCTTTTACACAAAGGCCCATATTCAAGAGGGACAGCCAGATGTCAAAATTGGCCTGGACTGAAAAGAGCTGAGTTTAGAGCTCCACATTCACTGGGGAACCTCCAACCCTATTTCTCAATGTCTTTCTTACTTTTTAAAAAATCTTTTGGAAAACCATGCTGCTGTGGTCTTCTATTGACCTGGCCTTTTGTTCATTTGTGTTTGCTTGTTTTTGATGAAAAGAGCATGACACTCAATTATGCAACCATCTTGACTCCTAGGAAGTTCTGTAGGTACTGTGAAACTCCCTGACTGGGGACTCTGTTTATAATCGGCTATCATTTTATATATTTGTGGCAATAGTGGTCATGATGTAGACAAAGTTTATATACATTTCTTCAAGATCTTTACAGTCACCTATAAAGCAACATTGGCATTCTGTAACCCTGTGAGTGCACACTATAATCATTATTCAAGGAGAGCTGGTATGCTATTGGAATGTGGAATCTTTAATCCAGCATGCCTCACATTGTTGCCATGACCTCAGCCTATCTGCACCATCTCAGTATCAGAATGGAACTCTTTCCCTTCATTGAATTGTCCTTATTTCTACATACTGACTCTGACTTTGGATTCTGAGCTGATCGATTTCTTTTCCAAGAGTGTAGAACCTGACAATATTTTTGGGATGGGCTTCTTTCTTTTCAATGTCTTGTATACTTGTTCTGGTTCCTGCCCCATTGGCTCTGATTCAGGTTTACACTTCCAGTTTTTTATGAAAGAGCCATACATCAACCATCTCAGTTAATTCCTTCCTTCCTCTTCCATATGTCCACAAAGGCTTTCTCACTGTCTTTCTTTAATCCCTGTAAGAAACTGAGATCATTCCCTCAAATAGCCATCTCTGCCTAGCAGGTCCAGATCACAAAGGACAGGCCATTCTATAAACACTTCATTAGCCCCCTGGGTATCTGACAATGTTCTGTGAAATGATGTTAGGTCTTAGCACATGGAATGATAGGAAACACCCTGAATGGAATTAGACTTTATCGCTTAACTTGTGGTGAGCCCCTGAATAAGCCATCCCATTCTTTTGGTCTAGATGATTTCTGAGGTTCCCTCAACACTTATTAATTTAGGTACATGATTCAAGAGCCTTCTCCAGGGCTATGAGAACCTGATTAACTGTTGTCACTGCATTCTCTAGTATTCCTTGAAGACTGCCTTTCAAGTCACTTAACTGTCCAATAGAGGCCTCCAATGTCCTAGGGACAGCATCAAAATATCCTTCTAACAAGTGCTCACTCTGATCCAGCTTAATTCAAACATCGTAGAGGTTTATAGAGAGGACAGTCAACAGAATGGTCAGCCAGGTCTCTGAGTCTCTTCATATCCTGACTAAAATGGATATACTATACTACATACAAGTTGTTTAAGACTACCTGATGCTTGAATCCACAGGACCATTGCCTCCTTTCAGCTGAAGCCAAGCTCCTTGGAGCATCTCTTTGGGCTTGGCTAGCGGGAGATTTTATTATCCCTCTCTTCCTGTGTTTCATCAGCAGGGAACATGGCCAGGACTTTTGGCTTCACTCACAAGTCTGAACTCACCTACACATTCATTTTCTAGAATAAAGTTTGACAAACCTTTTCTGTAAAGGACTAGATAGTAAATATTTTCAGTTTTGTAAGCTGTACAGTCTATCATTATAGCATGAATCAAATACATTAAATAAGCATGGCTGTATTCTAATAAAACTTTATTTACAAAAACAGGCCAGAAGCCAGATTTGGCTTGAAGGCTGTAATTTGTCTCTCCCTGGGCCAGCTCTACACACCAGCAGATAGAACTGGGCTATCTGGCTCTTCCATAGAAGCACTCAATTTATGGAACTAAGTTGGATCCCTTCAGCCTGGGCATGTGCCCTTGACTAGAATCAAACCCGGGATCTTTCAGTCTGCAGGCCAATGCTCTATCCACTGAACTAAATCAGCTAGGGCAATATACTGCTATTTTTGATCACCATTTGCCAAGGCAGTCTCCTGAAAGCAAAAGTTTAGGGGACTAGGGCACCACAATGCTATCTAACCCGAGTACATTGTTGTTAGGCTGAATTTCAGCAATGACCTAAGTGACTCCAGTTCCAGATGGTCACCATATGTC